CTCACCAGAAAGACAGAGACAGAGAGACAGAAAGTGAGAAATCACCCCCCCCCAAGGGAGTGGCCACACTACAATCCCTTCTCCTCCATTCTCCTCTAGGGATCTTGGGCATGCACTCACATGTGCCCGGTGTGAGTTTAGGCCACCGGGTCCAGGACTTGAACCGCAGTTGACTACATGGGAGTCCAGCAACATAGCCATCACACTGACTGCTGGTCCCAGTACCATTTTTCATGAACTTTTAAAAAAAGTTGGTCTCTGGTTTGTCTTCACATTTTAAAATCAGAATGCATATAGTTTTACCTTAGAAACCTGCAGTCCAGTTTGCCATGATGAAGCTCAATCAGCCCAAGATTCTGTCAGCTGGAATTTTTGTAGCTTCGGGTAATAAATCTGCTCCATTGGTTCTTAAAGAGATAAATTGGAAGAAACTGTTGCTCCTTTTTCCTTTTTTTTTCTTTTTTTCTTTTTTTCTAATGAGCTTATATTTCTCCATTGGACTTTGTATTTATTTTTGCTCTAAGCCTAAGATTGCTATTAGTTTTATTCCATTTTAAGTAAAAAGTCTAAGTTTATGTTTGTGAACTAACATCTAATATGTAAAATCAAGCCCCAGAACTGTGTTAAGATAAGCTAGAGGCCACGGAAGACTTGTTCTTTCTTCACCAAAAAACAAGGTTAGACAGACAAGTTTTTATGGTTTTTTTCTAAAGAGCATTTTGTTTTCTAGTTCATCTTTTCACTGTGACTGTAGTAGTTTCTGTGTGCACAAGTATATCTCTCTCCTGTTCATTTAAGATTGGCCTTTAAAAATTCAAGCTTGGGATCAACAGGTGGTGTGGTGGTTAGGATGCTGAACACTCCCACAAGGCTGACCATGGTTCAAGTCTTGGACCTGGTGGCTTGCTTTCTCACTCTCCTTCTCTCTGTGTGCCTGTCTTTCTCTGGTCAAATGAAAATGACTGAATGAATAAATAAAATTGAATAACTAAAAAAAATTCAAGCTTGGGATCAACAGGTGGTGTGGTGGTTAAGGCACTGAACTCCCACATGGCCAACTGCAGTTTGAGTCCCAGACCTGGTGGTTTGCTTTCTCATTTTCTCTCTTTCACCCCCGCTCCCATTCCTCTGGTGATTAAACATGCCTTATAGAAAATTTAAAATAATAATGATAATAAATAAATAATTACTTTAAGAAAATAAAAATTCAAGCTTTAAAGGGGCCAGCAAGTAGTATGCTGGCTAAGGTGCTAGACTCCTAGATGTTTGACCGTGGTTCATTTCCCATTTCAAATCATACTGGCTGTGTGGGCATGCATGCCCAAAATCCTGAGAGGAGAATGGAGGACAAGAAATTGCAGTGAGACCATCCCCTAGGTGGATGATTTCTCAATTTCTCTCTCTTTCTCCAGCAAGCACACTTATGCGCCTTATGGCAAAAACAAAAAATCCAAACTTTATATCACCTGGTAAGCTCTAAATTTTCTCATTGAAGGGCCCTTAGTGTTTGTTTACATCTCTGGATTCTTTTTATTGTCCCACTTTCTCTCTGCTCTGATAGAAATTCTTTACTTTTTTTCAAAGCTAAGCTATATTTAGAGGACATTGTTAATATTTTAATCTAGAATTTTGGTGCTTTCATTTAGTAAGAGGATTTTAGGATCTTTGGTTTATCACTCCGATAAGACATTGAATTCTAACCTCTTATTTAGGAAAGGCCATGTTAAATTGTACACTCAGGCTAGTCTGGCAGGGTTTAAGGTAATCTTTATGAGTACTGAATTTTTTTTTTCTTTTTTTAGAGAGACTTTTGCTATAGGGCGCATGTACTTGCCAGCAAAGACAGAGAGACAGAAAGCAAGAAATTAGTCCCAAGGTGGGGGATGGCCATGCTACATTCTCCATTCTCCTCTCAATATCTTGGGCACATACACACATGCACCCGGCATGAGTTTAAGTCACTGGGTCTGGAGCCAGAACCACAATAGACTATGTGGGAATCCAGCAATGTAACCGTTACGCCATCTCCTGGTCCCGTAAGCACTTAATTTTAATAGACCTACCTCATCTCTCTACAGTGTTCAACATTAGGTTCACTGAATTCAGTTACCCGTTTTTTTGAGCATCTTTGTTAAAGGCACTGTGCTTAGCAGAAACAATCTTAAGGGAATTAGCAATTCAGTATGGATATGTGTGCTGGATATACTCTCATAGTTAAGATACACTAAAATGAATGAGGTGCTAGAAAGAGCTTGAATCAATGTTTATGAAGATTCAGTGCAAATTTGGGGAAAACAGGCAATTCACACTGCATCTGCAGATTTTGGAAGTTGAAATGAAGATGTCTTCAGGTAACTATTTGATAAAAATAGAAGGAACAGAAGTAGTTAACGACAAATTCATATTATAACTACGAGCGTTCTTAGGTTAAGGTTTAATTAATCCCATGCTAGTATTCTGTATAGAACAAGTGGAAACACCTTTCCATCCTGATACAAATTTAGTTCCTTTTCTTCTTTCTGTGTATCTAGCTCATCTGTTATGTTGAGTGTAAATCCTATAAAAAAAAATTCAACTTCATCAAGCTCTCCCTGAATCTCTTTAAGTTAGTTGCTTCCTCTTTCTAAAATAACTTATACAGATCTCTATTATGTCAGTTACATGGTTTAAAGTTGTTTTTCTTTTTAATTTACCTGCCCTGATAATAGTAATAATAATTTTTATTATGACTAGGCACAAATATATATGAACAGACTTCAGAAAGTTCATGAAAAAAGGAATTAAAGTATAAATTTATTTTTGTCCAAAAAAATGAAATTCATGCATTATTTGTCATCATACTTATTTTCCATGACTTTTTCAGAGACCCCTTGTATTATATTTAAATTACAAGAAATGTGTAAGATAGACATAGTTATTCCTGTTTAACAGGTGAGGAAACTGAGAATTATGAAAGGTAATTTATTATTATTATTATTATTTATACATTCAATCACTATACATCATTTAGATTTTAAAGAGACTACCTAAATGATCTACACCTCAGTCCAGCCCATTTGAGGATACTAAATATATCCTCGTCAACAGATAAACTATATCTGTGTCCCACAAATGTCTTACCTCTCTATTTTTTCCCCAAATTTCCTTTCCTACACTCTTCACCTCCCACACTCTCCTTCCACTTTGTCTCTAGGATCCATAATAAATGCTTTTATGTCTTCCAGACTTTCAGTCTCTACCGTAGAGTGCAGACAGTTGGTATATGTTAAGTGGAGACATACAATGTCTCTCTTTCATAGCCCAACTTGCATCACTCAGCAACAAATCTTCCATATTCGTCCACTTTCTATCAAATTCCAGAGCCTTGTTGTTTTTTATGACTGAATAGTATTCCATGGAGTATATGTGCTACTTTTTCAATCCATTAATCTGTGGACATTTGGGTTGGTTCCATGTCTTAGCAATCATGAATAATGCTACAGTAAATATAGATGTGCAAGTATTTTTCCAACTGAGCCTTCTCCTGTTCTTTGGGTAGATACCTAGGAATGGAATTGCTGGATCATGTGGTAGTTCTAGTCGAATGTCTTTGAGGAACTTCCATATTGTTCTCCAAAGTGGCTGGGATAATTTACATTCCCACCTACAATGTAGGAGTGTTCCCCTTTCACTACATCCCCTCCAACACTTATCATTTTTTTGTTTTTTTTCATCTTCACCATTTTGACTGGAATTAGGTGGTATCTCATTGTGGTTTTGATCTGCATCTCCCTTATGATAAGGGATGTTGAGCATTTTCTCATATGTCTTTTGACTGTTCATATGTCTTCCTTAGAGAGTTGTTTGTTTAGCTCATTTTCCCATCTTTTAATTGGGTTAATCATTTTTTTCCAGGTAAGCTGCTTGAGTTCCCTGAGTATTCTGGTTATCAGTTCCTTTTCTGAGGCACAGTTAACAAAAATTCTCTCCCATTCTGAGGGTTGTTGACTCACAGTAATTATAGTGTCCTTTTCTGTGCCAAAAATTCTTAATCTGATGTAATCCCACCTGTCTATTTTGGGGATTATTGCCTGTGCTTTGAGGGTCTTGCTTAAGAAGTCTTTGCCTACCTGAAAGCTAATTAATTTGCCTAAATCTTACAATTAGATGGACAAGGATTTGAACCAAGGCTTTTCTTCACTCCATGGTCTCAGTAATGTATTGTACTGGCAAGAATATTTCCTTTTTTACTTTCATTACTGCTCCAGTGCCTTGAGTTGCTTCTAGCAACAACAACTTACAAGTAGTACATGTAAGAGATGTTTACTGAATTGAAGTCAGTGAAAATTCAAACATGGCTCTTAGTAGAAACTTTTATGAATTTAGAGTGAGCTAAACATTTATGAGTTCACCAATGCTTTACTCCTGGGATATCTTTAACTCAAGGAATAAGTTGTAAACTGTATAAGTACACATAAATTCATACTGTATAAAATATAGTAAACAATTATTGTATTGATAGGATTAGAACTTTAAGGTCATGCAAAATCAGAATATTCAGATACTATAGTCTGTCTGTAACCTATCATAAGCTTCTTATCTACTACTTGTAGGCCATATCTGACCTGCTACCTGTTTTTGCAGGTAGAAGTTTTATTGGAATGTAGTCATGCACCTTTGTTTCCATATCATCTCAGAGGGCTACAAAAGCAGAGTTGAATAGCTGCAATAGACTGTATGACCTGATAATTAAAAACATATACTCTCACCCTGTATAGAAATAGCTTGATAACCTCTGGCATGGATCATTATTGTTGTATCGTTTGGTTAACTATTGTTTTGGTCTGTTTCAAGGATCTTCAAGATAGATTTGAAATTCAGCCGGGTGATGCACGTCTGTTTATAAATGGCCTACTTGTTGATATGGATGTTTATGATCCTTTCAGGTAAGTATTAAATTATTGATATAAAGTAACTATGGTGTATGTAAAGGTAAACATTTTACCTTCTGAATTTAGTATTTGTTAAAATGCAAAGAATCACTTTAGAGATAAAACAAATGCATGCTTTTTTTCCATTCATTATATACCTTTTTTTTGGTATTTATTTATTTATTTATTTTACATTTTTTTAGTACATTCAATCACATTATTTAGCTTACAAGGTGATCATTTCAATATAAGAACATTTCTCCTCGGTCGAGTTGATAAAAATATAACAACACTACCTCCCTGTCTCAACAATGCATGCTTTTTTTACTGTGCAAAACAACTCCAGTGTTTTGGTAGAGTACTGTACAAAAATGTGCAAGCCCAGAGTGCCTTAGACTATACAACTGGGAAAGATGTTATAAAAATACTTGTTTGGATGAATGTTAGGCCTATACGTACCTATTATTCTAACCTTCCTTGTAGTGAAGAATAGGTTGCTGATTTAACAGGAAAGTTCTTTGAGACTGTGACTGTGCACTGAGCAGCCACAGCTCTCTACCCTCTAGAAAGAAACTAAAAATATCATGAGGTATTTCTTCAGAAGAAAGAAATTAACTTGAAAAATGTAAAGTGCTTTTGTCTATCAGAAAAGAAGTTTGAAATTATAGAATACTGGATGTTATTTAGTTTCTTAGGTCAAAAAAAATTTTTTTTTCAAAATTGCTCTAGGGCAGATTTAGGAAGACTTATTTATCAGTGACCATTCAGGCATAAACTAAAGTAATGGGCCAAACAAGAGAGGAATGATACTCAATGTGTTTTATTTTTACAGAGAAATCTGTAACTACTTTAAAATTAATATTTGAAACATAAGATGAATTTAGTTAAATAATACTTTTATTTGGAAATTCATCTTTAATTCAGTTAAACATACTTTCGATGAACTGAAATTAGTAGAATGTTTAAGATCCATTTTCTTACCAGTTTGAAATGTATAGACAAATACAGAAAAAACCTGAGAATTATGATAGTTTATTTGGAACTTACTGTTACCTTTCAGAAATTTTTTTACAATTTTATCTGAAATGGTAGTTTTCTCTTTAGTTGAATTCTCACACTTAATTTTTAACAAGTAATAATTTATAATATATAGGATAAGTACTATTTCTAGAAGGAGTAGGAAGTTCTTAGATCTTGGCCTATAAATTTCAGAAAGACAAAAATTGTATCTATGCTAGGATAGTTTAAAAGAAGGAATAGAATGGTATGTAGCTTTTAGAAAGTTCTACATATGCGAATTTTCATGGCAGCAACATTTTCATGTATGATTTAGAAAAGGTTGACGCTTACTCAAGGAATACAGATCCATCATCATCTACTCCATAAATATGTGCGTTTATTTATTTTTTAAATGAAATAATTTAACTTTTTTCTTTATTTATTTTAATTTGACCAGAGAGGGACAAAGAGAGAGAGAGTGAGAGACAGAGAGAGAGGGAAAGTGAGAAAGCAAACGGCCTAGTCTGGGACTCAAACCGTAGTCGGCCATTTGGGAGTCCAGTGCCCTTAACCACCATACCACTTGCCAGCCCCAAAATGTATATTTATGTTTTAATTAAAAAGAAAATAAATGTAACTCCCCTGAGCCCTCCCCCTGGTACCTAGTGATCTGCAAGATATATGCTACATTTTTGTTTCCCATTGATGTCACCACTATCCATGGCTACTGTTATCCCCTTAAAGAGAAATATGTGAGGATATTTATTTCTCCTGACATTTTAAAAAATAATGTAATGAAAGAGGCTCTCATTAAAAGGTCAATATTTTTGCCATAGGGTGCATGCATTCACTGGAGAGAGACACAGAGAGAGAAACAGTGAGAGAAAGGTAAAGTAAGAAATAAGTCGCTGGGGGGATGGCCAGGTCACAATCCCTTCGCCTCCTGGGATTTGGAGCAGACACTTAAACATGCCTAATGTGATTTTCAAGCCACTGGGTCTGAGATTCAAACCATGGTCTGCCATGTGAGAGTCCAGCACTGTACTACCATGCCACTTGCTGGCCCCATTTCTCTATATCTTAACAAAGCTATCTGACTCAGAATTCTCTTAAGCTCCTGAAAAATATACTTTTTTTGCAAGCAGTATTTAAACTCACTAGGAAATCAGTTCAGTGTTAAAATTGAATTCAGCAAATGTTCTGAGTTCTTTCTGAGTTCTTTCTCCTAGGAACTGTTGTATGTTGAGGTTACAGTCTTGCCTATGTGGAATTTATATTCTATATTAAATAAGCAATTATAGTGTGACAAAGCTTACAAAAGATAAAGCGCAGTACTTCGGGAGTTTATTATATCTCCATAGAGTTTCATTATTATTTTTTTTTTTTATGGACTCTGGGGACCATGCACATCAGATTTTTTCTAAGTAATGTTTAAGCCTTAACATGAAGAATCAGGCAAAGTAGGAAACAGAGGTTGTGGCAACATGCACCTTTGAGAAAATGAAAAGTCTAATATAGTAAGACCAGACAGTGGAGTAAGGAGGTGGCATGAGCCAAAGTTGCACAGGTGAGCAAAAATCAGATTATGCAGCCAGGTTATAGATTTGGCCTTTTATCTAAGAGTAGTTAGAAGCCAGTGAGAAATTCTAAGCAAGTCCGAAGATAGTAACTATTTGCAAGAGAAGCATCAGAAGGCCAGGTCCATGGTCTGGTGGTTAAGGCAGCCACATTATACATGACCAACCATGTGATTTGAGTCCTGGTTTCAGCTATTTGAAAAACACATCATGTGCATGCATGCCCCAAATCTCAACAGGGTGGAGAAGATGAAAAGGGATTGTGGTATGACCATGCCCCATTGGAAGGTACTTTCTCTTTTCTCTCCCTTTCTGTCTCTGTCTGTCTCTCTCTGGGGAGTACACATACCCTCTGTAAATTAAAAAGAGAGAGAGTGAAGCATCAGAAACTATATCAATTACTTACAAATCTAAAGATATAAGGGAGTTCTTGATAAATAAGCCTCGTATGTTTAAAGAACCATTTTTAAAATCATCATCCAAAATCCATTTGAAAGCAACTTGTGTGCCCAATAGGAAACTCATTTCATCTGAACATTGTGCAGAAAAATTATTGCTATTCTCTTTTTCATGTGCAAACTGAGACCGAGAGAGGTTTCACTCAAAAATAAAGACACAGCTAACAGCCTCAGGACTCAAAATTCCACTCCCTTTCCAAAGTACTGTGTGATTTTTTTGGTTTTCTGTAGATAGTGTTCCTCAAAATAGGCTGAGTTAACAAAGACAATAGTTATAAAAGCCACAAGAATATGCAAATGTTACCATATAAAAGTATCTTTAGTAAGCATCATAAAACTTTAAAACTGGAATCTAAGAAAACCGATCTCACAAAAGAACAGAGTGGAAGGATGAATGGTGATTATAGAGACATTATTATGGGGAGTGTTGATTAAAGGACATTAATTACAATTAAATGGGGGGATAGTCCAGAATTTGTAAATATATGCACACAGAATTAACCAGTTTGTAAAGACAAAAATTAGATAAGCGACTGCTTGGGGCCAAAGGATAGAGATGATAGGATAGGCTGGTGGAACAAGACATTGAAATGACTAGTAATGGTTAGGAAGTTTTCTGGGCAATGAAAATACTCTAAAATTGATTGTGGTGATGGTTCAGGACCTCAAGAAGCCACACTTGAAGCAGTGTGTAGCCCAGACTGCCTCTTAGTTTCAGATTGGCGATTTGATACTTAAGTTAGGCTCTCTTTAGTGTTATCTCCTCATAGGTTTTCTTCCTTCCTCCTTCTTCATTTTTCCCCCAGAGCTATCTAGGATATAGATGCACAGAGCTGACATTATACAGGCCAGCTTGAAATAAATGGCTTAATCATTAAGAGTTTTGACAGATTTTTTTTTTTTATATTTTATTTACCAAAGGGTGCATGTGCTCACTGGAGAGAGACAAAGGGAAAGTGAGGAAACACCCCACCACCACCATGACCA